AACGAGGGCGGTGAGTGGCGATACGTGGTAAGGCATGGTGTTCGCGTGATACTTCCCTTCGAGTAAGATATCTACTAGGACATCTTTGATGGTGTGGCGCCTGCTTTCTTTCTTCGTTCCGATGCTGATGTATGTTTCTCTCCAGTCATCAGGGGACCCCGCATTCCACAGGATTTCATCGCTATACACTGGGATGTCCAAGTCTTGAGTTGCGTGAAACCCCGGGTTAACTTCGTATATGACCATTGTCAACGTGCTTTCGATGAATATGCCGCCTATCAATCGTTTCCATGATTCAAGCTCGATCCATAATTGCCAATCCATGGTGTCTGATTCAAGGGCGTCTCCCGCTACAGCTGCTCGGGCTTGGCTGTACACCTAGCTCTCGGTCAGAACAAAAGAAACCTCACGAGAATTACGTGAATAGCAATATATCGTACCAAAGTGTAAAATCCGTTGTCTCTCATAGTATCGTTAACAAGTTCTCTATCACCACTCATTATGGCGAAGAAACTAAGCAACACTCGCGTCTGAACAGTCCAAAGAGCATAGTCCTTTACAACAGCTCGTCCATCAGCAGGTAATGGGTTTTTAATCTGCTGGAGCGGAGATCAAGGTTAGCAAATATGTCTCACACACCTTCATCAAATGGCCAAGGGTATTGGTGTAGTTTAACTTACATCTCCTGAGCTCTGCTTTGCCAAATTGTACATCATTCTAGCCCGGCGACGATCGAGCCGATAGAGCGCACCAATAGCACATATTGCGAGGATCAGGGGGCTTGGAACTTGTTTCAGTTCCAGTGTCTGAATGTGAATGAGAGGGAAGTGGATGTGGAAGCATGTGATGTAGCTTGACAAACAGCTTTGGAGAAATTTGGCAGCGGGAATGGGAATGTTCTGGTCTGGGTTTGGCAAGCGACGAAAAAGGTCTTGTTGAATTCGATCCCGAGTTTCGTCACCGATTGTAAACGTTGGGCATGGGGGGCTCCCGTCCTCGGAAAGAGACGGCAGATCGGACGCACGTTCCGTCCCTCGCACTTCCGTTGGACTCACCAAGGGTACGCTTGAAGGGCCAACAACAGCCTGGGCGCCTTTCCGGGAATTTGGCGGATATTCTCCAAGTAAGCCAGATGAAGCAAGACCACCAGTCTCTACTTGATGGAGATCCTCGCTGATATCGCCAGCCTGGTGAGTTAAAGAAGCGAATTCGATTGCAGCAAAATTTAGCTCTGCTATTGTGTTTGGTGAGAAGACAAACGAGCTTGGATCGTTATGCATTGCGACAGAGCGGTCTGTGTGCTGATCCGTTCCTCCTGGGACATGTTGGCGAAGTACTTCCGTTGGTTCGTGACTGGGTACGTTTGCCGACGGTCCTGGGAGCCCGAAGTCCATGTCCATCTCTTGGCCAATATCTGAAAACAACGCCGGGTCAATCATGTCCAGTTCTAACACTTCTAGCTGCTGTGGTCGCGGATCAGCGGTATGCGGGCTGGAGGACTGGGTCTGCGCCCTTCCTGAACCATTCGAGCATTCTTCAGAGGTTTCGTCACACCTCTGACCTGGCAACCTTGGTTCTGACTCTGCTTGGACGATGCCTTCCAAAATGACGTCGCGGTCTTCCACGCCAAATGGAGAGGCTGTTTGAAAATTTGCTTCGAATCGACCGGTAATGGGAGAGGAGGCTGAAGAAGCTACCTCGTTACGTGGAGACTGGTACTCGAGGGACTCTGGGTAAGACTGTCTTTCCAGATCTATCTCTTCGCCGTCCGAAATATCGTCGCTGACAGGTGTCTCGTGGTTTGTTGCTTGCGTCGATAGTGAACATGCCACTGTCACCTCGTCGGCGATCTTCTCGTTGTTGTGCAATTTCGCATGTAGAGTGCGCTCGTGTCTTGTTACCAAATCTCTGGGCACCAGTGGTACTTTAGTGAACTGTTATCCACGAGAGCGATAGGATCAAGATGTTGATGCACATACTTCCTTCCATAAGACTTGTGGCAGTACCGGCAGATATATGGCTTCTCTCGGGTATGGGTGCGCTGGTGTCGAATGCAATGCTCACTGCGCTTGAACGCTTTCGGACAGTATCCGCACTTGTACTGACGCTGGGGGCGGCCTCTCCGTGCGACCGCAGCTGGGTGATCGTCGTTTGGCGACATAAGCAAGCTGGGTTATTCGTTCTCAGGTTTTCGATGCAAGCCCTGTTCGAGGCTTTCAGATAGGGCTAGATACTCGGAGGATGGCGGTGGCTGCTCAAGTTGTGACGATGGCGAAGTTCGTGTTCGACACTCATCGTTGCGGGGTGTCGGGTTGTGCAGTTGCCGAGCCAGTCCGGGGCAGCTTACGCAGAACAAGGGTCTGCCTGGCTCACACACTGGTAGGTGGGCCAGTCCCCCTGTAGACGGCACAGTGGCAGCTGCACCCCAGAAGGCACAGTTGGAAGTTGGCTAAACTCGGCGGGGGCGAAATGCGGGGAAAAGACGGGGACTGCGCGGCAAAGTCACTGTTCGACTGATAATGGGTTGCTAAATGTCTAATGCTACTGGTCTTGCTTATCACTTCTCTGAGACTCTCGCTGGTTGCGACGGAACATGGGCCAACAGCTCTACAATCGACTTTGTAAGATGTTCCTTCACGGGCGTTCATGAGCCCGGATCCTCACAAGACACGATTCATCAAAACCCGGATGCAAGATTGACATGAGAACCTCATCCTCGCCTTTTTTGATAAACTCGGCATCATGAGCCATGGCAATATGCATCCCATATCGTTCACTTGCCTGTCTGAGCTCTTCGATGGTGCTCCAAGCTTTATTCAAGTCTTCGTGCAAGCAAAAGCGAGAGCCATCGGAGAGTAAAATGTTAGCAATGCTTCGGCGACCATCGAAGATATCTCTACCCGCCAAAAGGCCAGATTAGTCGCCGATAACCCAGCCATTGCTCCAGCAGAAAGTGAAGGGTAACTGACCTCGAATGACAGCAATCACTTGCTAAGACAACATGCTGCCCGTTTGGTAGTCGGGCGGCTGCAGCCAGATTCCCTTCCATGTGCCCCGGAGCGTCAATCACCCAGAAGCTGCCATCGCCAAAGAAGTCCTTCGCACGATGAAAGGGGCCCCAGTGAACCCATGGTCCCTCAAGCTCTTCAAAGGACTCGGACTGCGAGTCGCCCTCACCAAAAAAGCGAGAGTCCCACTGGACCATTGGTTGAATTTCGCCATCTCTTACATGCCCTGGGGAACAGTGCTTTGCAGTACCAGGGCCGAACAGAACTTTGGCGCGGGGGAACTCGCCTTTTAGCGGTCGGCAATGATCCCAATGGGCATGACTACTCTCAGGTCAGCCACGTGGTCCCATTGGCCTGGACATACTTATGAGGAGATTTAGGTTCTTGCCTGAATATGACAGTATCGATTTCTTCTGCCATCACTCCTAAGTCCTCAAGCTGACTTATGAGCGATTTTCTGGGTCCAACTGGATTGCAACTCGTCCAGTGATAGTTTAAGACAAACGGCGTATAGAGTTCGCGATCCTACACGGCGGCTAATGAGCGGAGGTGTAAACGGTATGCCCATCGTGAACTAACATTGTGGATTCCAAGATCCCAGAGCATCCGTCGGCCCGTAGCTCTGTGATGAATGAAGAAACACCAATCGTAAAGATAGTACGGCTCCAAATGCCCATCCTCGTGGATCTTTGTGTCGTCGGTGGTTGTGAATCCTCCTCCGTCCAGTAGCACAATCTCGACAGCCCCAGTGGCCAGGGGAATCGGTCTATTCAATGCCATTTTGGAATAGAGACATGAAGAATGACCTGCTCTGGGCCTCTCGAAAAGTAACCCTGGTATTGGGGAAAAGATCAGAATTAAATATTTGAGGTTGCCTCCACTCTCGCGACTTCCCCGCATTCAGTACATGGTGGCCCTGAAACGGCATACGTCCACAGGAAACCGACACTCCATCCAATCCATCACTGCCGTGACTGATGTTTCCGTGTGAGTCGTACTTTCGAGGACCAAGGCAGTTTGGCAACAAGAAAGACCCACGATTTCTAGCAACAATGTGAAGGCCAAGAAATTTCTCATCTTATCAGAATTCTCATTGAAACGATCTGTCCCCAAAGCATCCTCGTATATATATGTCTATGAGGAAAGAGTAGAGCGAGCCTCTTTTGGCTTCTGGGTGTCCGGCTAGGGAATCAGTCTTCGCTGCCCTTCCCGCATATTTTTATCCAATTCCATCCCCAACCAAAGTGGCTGGGTCTCATCTAGCTTGTCCTCCAACTCCGTTATATTGCCTCCGTTCACAAAAAAGGTTTTGCCATTGATATCAGGTCTTGCTGCTGGCAGAAGACTTGCTTTGGCAACATCTCGGGGCTGGTTGGCTGGAAGGTCCCCCCAAATCGATCTGATATGATCTGTTACCATTTCCGTTACTAACGATTTTCAAATCAGAACCATACTGGAAGTATCCGGGGTCACTATAGCCTAGTCCATTTCTCTTACCTGTCATCCAAGGAGCTATCATGTTCACGCTGATGTTCATCTTTGGAAGCTGGGTCCTCAGGGAACGCATGAGACCCAACACAGCCCCTTTACTGGCACAATATGTGTACAAGGGGGGTGTGTCCCAGATGCTAGCCGCTGATCCAAAGAGAACAAGTTGCGAGGGTATCTCAGGATGCATCCGGAAAAAGCTGATCGCGCATTTGGTTACGTACCAGGTTGCAGCAATGTTGATGTTCAGAACGGAGAGGTCTGGCTCCTTCAAATGCAACAAATCGTCATCAATGGGCTCATCAAGTGTCTCTAACTTATTAATTGCGGCGTTCGCAATGACTGTGTCGATCCGGCCGAATTTCGAAACGGTTTCTTGGAAGAAGTGGAGGAGTTCATCCCAGTCAAATACGTCGCATCGCTTGAAGAACACGTTGCTGCGAAAAGATCCATTAGCCCCTCTTTCTTGAGAGATTGAATGTCTGCTATGACATAGGCAGTTTGTTACGCGTCAAGCTCCTGCTCCACTTGTTTGCCTCGAGCCTCGTCGACGTCGCAGAACGCTACTTTGGCGCCATTCTCTGTGAACAAGTAAGTGATACTACTCTTCTGATAAAGAAAGGCTGCTTACCATGAGCGAGAGTCACAATGGCTCGGCCAATGCCGGCAGCACCACCAGTGACGAGAATCACCTTGTTCTGGAGTTTGTCAAACTCCCGGTCGTTGATGATATAAGTGGTCATTCTGTGCGTAATTCAGAGCTTTGCGTGCAAACTTGATGAAATGGGTACGTGAACATCGAGTAATGGCCAACCGAATCGCCCGTGCCTCAGTCGTTTTAACAATTTTCTCCCTGCCTTTCAGTACCTACCAGGGTCTTCTGTTACTCCACATACGACCACATCTAGATGATCTCACTTTGTGGGGAGCCTCCTTCCGCGATAAACATGTGATCAACCACAGCTTTGGGTGATTTGGGCAGGAATCAACATCTTTTGTTTCTTCTATTTGGCTCGAATTGCATTTTAACAGTCCAAACGCGGATATCTATCATGACTCGATAGTTACATAGGATGGAGTTGGTGTGTCATCTGATAAGTCGGCTGTGGCAGACCAATGCTGATGTTTGAATCTTTGCGTCTCAATATCATCAGCGATGGCGATCGCAAGATCAGGGGCTGAAATCCCCAGGAGCCTTCCATCTAGGGGATTATCACCCTCGGGACCGTCCTTCAGCGGCAGGTTTCCCAGCGTAACGTTGTAGTTGCCTGTGCGTTTACCCGGACGGTATAACGCACTCGGGGAGACATAAGTCCAATTGAAGGAGGTGTTTCCCTCGAAAAACAACAGGCTAGCCCGAGCTGCCTTGATGAATCCGCTTGCTGCATCCTGTTGCGCCTTGATCTTTGCCTCGTATTCACTGATTGTGGCTTTTGCCCTTGAAACGTTCTGTCGGCTCCCACCTCCCGTTTTCAACAAAAGGCGCGCATCTCGGTATGCTCGCAAAGCTGTTCCCAGCGGTCCCAGTCTCTCTTCCATGTAAGTCACATGTGCATGGCTGTCGGATATGCCGCGTCGATATGCCAAGAAGAAATCTTTGCTGTCTGCCACACATATGCCATCTTCATGGGGCACGTGTAGGCTACCAGTACCGCCAACCATTACGAAGTAGTTGGTTTCAGCGCGCTTGACAGCAAGAACAATCTTTCGTATCATCTCTATGAAAGGCACTACGACAGGTAACAAGTCAGTGACTAAGACTGGTACCCGAAAGTTGAACAATGAGACGTACTGTACTGCAGAGCTTGATGACCACCAGTATGCGGCCCGTATTCGCTTACAACAACGTCAAGGTCTTTGATGACCCCGTAGATATCAGCTTCCGTTGCTTGTTCCAAATCGATGTTTCGAGGTTCATAACGTTCATGGCTTCCAAGCTTTTGTGGATTACGGGATATTCCAATGACACGGTGACCACGATTAATGAGCTCGACGCACAAATAGGAGCCTCCAAAACCCGCAGGGCCAATAACACCCACAATCAGCGGTCGACGTTCTTCAGGCATGACGGTGTTGAACTTGTGTTTGAATTATGATTCAGACACAGGTCTTCAAATTTTGTCCGGGGAGTTTCTATTGATAAGGTAGCTCGTAAAGATCTATGTCCATCATATCCATCGTTCATCACGCACCTATTGTTGAACGCGGGGTAAAGGTGGGGGAGTGAATGGTCGCTGTAGAATCTGTTTTGAGATCGAGTGTGGGGAACCTTAGCGCCCTAGATACTCCCGGTTTCGCTAGCTTTGCAGAGGCATTTGATTTTCTAGGCATCTTTTTAAAGACATTGAGCTCCTCTGGAGATTCTTTCATACTCTCGTTAAATCATACAAGCTAACATGGATTGTAACGTAGGATTTATTGGTAGGTTGTGCTAGCCCAGACTCGACATCCTTTTCGACGTCACTTACGTGAACGCAGGCCTTGGTGCCATAGGATATCCTATGGCCGCATCTGTGCGGCGCAGACTTCCGCATGACTCGATTCTGTACGTTTTTGACGTACAAAAGGCAGCTTGTGCAAGGTTTTGCAACGAATTCGGCAGCCTGGGGCCAGTCAAGATAGCTGAGTCACCACGAGATGTGGCTGCAAGCGCTGAAGTGGTGATATCAATGGTGCCGGGAGGGAGAGAGGTCGAAGATGTCTTTCTACATCCTGAAAACGGTATCAGCGTCGCCCCAAAAAATCCTGGTAGACTCTTGCTCGAGTGCAGTACGATCGATGCAGCCACAGCTCGGAAGTTGGCTGCTCACATTGAAACAACGCAACAAGGCACGTATGTTGATGCCCCAGTTTCAGTAAGCATACTGCTTGGCAGCGGTGCCGTTGCACCCCCAGCATCAAACAATTGAGTTAATCAAAGTTTAGGGGGGCGTTCCTGCCGCAGAAACAGCCACGCTTTCATTCATGATCGGCCATCCTGCACCGCAGCCGGGTGACAAATCAACGGAGAGACTGGAAAGAACAGTCTCGTTGATGGGTGATCCCCAGAAGTTATTCTGGTGTGGCAGTGTAGGCTCCGGCCTTGTCGCAAAGATCAGCAACAACTATATTTCGTGCTCCGTCCTGTTACTGGTCGCAGAAGCAATGGCGATTGGTGTCAAATCGGGTGTTGACCCAAAGATACTCCAAACAATCATTCACAATTCAACTGGGCAGTCTTTCATGGGAGACAATGTTTGCCCAGTGCCCGGCGTGGTGCCTCACGCACCAAGCAGCAATGATTGGCGGCTGGGGTTCAAAACACAAATGTTTCTGAAAGACCTTTCACTGGGAATAGAAGCAGCCCGACGTCAAGATCTGAAGCCCTCAATGGCAGAAGCCGCTTATGCTGTATTTGAGGAGGCATCAAAGAATCCCTGCTGTATTGTAAGTGATGGCACATGCATGTCTTGACGTTTTATGTTAGGCTAATATGGGGTCATCACAGGATCGTGACGGATCATCTGTATATCTTCACATTACGGGGGAAGACAAGGATTAGAACCACTTTGTCGGGCATTCAGACGTGAGCTCAACGTGCTGTACACATGTGCGATTCGCAATTAAAGATCCGTTCTCTTAATTCAAACCTACCTAGTACTATGTGTCTTAAATATGTCTCTAAGAAATCCCCTTAAACGATGAATGTCGGTACGTTTTAACCTTAGTTCATAGAACCTGCTTCTTCAGTCAATGTAGAGCACCAATCGGCATTCGAAGATATCGACACTGATGCTCGAACTGGTCCGCAGAGGCCTAATGCCACTCATGTTAATGAACATGACTCGTCAAATACCGATTCGGTGATCAGGGGCTTCATGGAGACAGTTCAGATATTAAACTTTCTCTATTTTGTTGAATTTAAATCTCTTTGTTCTCGATATGCTGAAGAAACGTCCGTATTTTAGCAATACAGGCGTCGGCGGCTTCTGCGTATATCTCATGACCCTTGGAATCGATGATGCCAAGCTCTGCCTTGGGCACTGTCGCAGCAAGTTCCTCCATGGACTTTACTGTCACCAAAGCACTGTTCGTGGGTGATAGAATGAGCATCGGAGCGGTGATGCTTCCCAAAAATGGCCGGGCGTCCAATCGACTCAGAAAGTCCGCATAGCTTGCCAGCCCTTCCCCATCACTCGCGGCCACCTTTTCAATCCACCAGGCTAGATACTCAGGGTCATCACTGGCGACTGTCCCATTCGCGGCAGCAAGACGCCTAGCCCATTCTCGGGACCCTAGTTGACGGCAAGCCTCCGGCCAAGACCCTTTGCCAAACGCCAGAAACTCCTGGGCAGATTGCGGCAAGTGAGTGGGAGACGAGCAAACAATGACTGAGAGCACACGCTGAGGGTATTTTGCTGCAAATATCTCGGCAAGCATCCCACTAGTTGATTCTCCAACAAAGTGGACCTTCTCTATGTTCAACTGATCCAAAGTGTCCTTGATCTCTTCCATGATGGTGGCAAGTGAATAGTCGTAGGCGTCATCCTGGCCAGGTTCTGGATAGCTCGACTCTCCATGACCGCGAAGATCTCGCCGGAGTACGTTGTAATGTCGCGATAAAGCCGGCACCCAGTGGTAGAAATGATCAGCCGTGCGAGCGAAGCCATGTTGCAGTAGAATTGTCTCTGCAGGTCGCCAGGGATCAACAAAACTGTCCAGTAGGTAGGCTGAGACCTGGCCATTCGGGTGGCGAATGGTCTCGCGTTTGGAGGCAGGCATGTTGATAGGCTGTGGTGTTTTTTGCCTGCTCTGTTTTCACTGATTAAATTGAACACAGTATGTTTCCTCCAGTCAAGACGAAACCAATGTGCAATACTTGTACATAGAAAGCCTTAGAACAGCTAGATACCTTGAATCAACCCAGATCAGTCATTCCCGTCCCTGCTTCTCTCGTCGTCGTGGGTGGAGGTTGTTTGAATGTGGGGTAAAGGCGCACACCGGTAGCAAGAAACGAACTTGGGTACTAGGTATTATTTACCTACCCCACATGGACTTCAGCTTCGTGACATGCAGCATACCAGGTAATTGTGTGTTTGCGGGGAAGGAAGGGCTAAATTTGCGGAGTGCGTGAGCGTGGGAGCCGCCCTCTGGTAGAATATGGGGTAGGTCACATCCTTCCCACGCTGGTGACGTAGATCTTCAGGGTGTAACTCTCATCTCAAGTATGGGCAAGCTTCGTGATTAGACGACTAACAGATATCTTTAACTTTGCCTAGAACAAGTTTACCCTTTATGAGAATTTCTTTGACTTTAAATAGTTGCATGCTGAAGAGCTCCTAAAGAATAGACTCACTAACTCAGCAGAGTCTGTTTCCAAAAGCTTGAAGTAATCCATCAGATCACACGAATCCACTTACAAGTCAAAATGTCCGTATTCGACAATCCAATCGCCCATGTCATTCTATTATCTTCTGCACTTTTATTGGGTTTTGCATTCGCCCTCCCATCTCTATTCGAAACCTTTTCCTCTTTGAGATTGCCAGGTCCCTTTCCAGCTCGTATCTCGCGGCTATGGTACTTGAAGCAGGTTAGCACAGGAAACTTCCATCAAGTCAATATTGACCTTCACCGGACGTATGGTAAGCCTAAGCTCTTGTTCCAGCAGACTTTTTGGATGAGTGTACTCATAAACTAGGCCCTGTTGTGCGCATAGCGCCAAATCAATATAGCATCGATGACCCGGCTGTGATCAAAACTATAT